GACTGGGGAGTTCCATCCAGGGTTTCTGGGACTGGGGATTTCCCCAGGCAGACCATCTTCCGCGGTGTCGGGTGCGTCAGTGACCGCGTGACCGGGCCGCGTCTGCAGCAAGCGTCACATCGACCGCGCTGGAGCTTGTGGCACTGGAGCAACCAGAGCTGGTGCGGCGGCGTTGCTTCCTTGGAGCCAGGCTGAAGGAATCTGGACAGGCTGATGGACCGTCGCCAGACTTTTGACCCGCGAAAACGAGAGTTTTCGATCTTTTCCTTTTTGCGGTGCGAGGGTCAATGACTCCCGAATCGCGCCCAAGCATATATCCCTCTAATCTACCAGGTGAATCAAAAGGGCGTCTAATGATTTTTGATGTTCACCTATCTGCAAGGGGCGTCTAATGAGCACCCCTTTCAGTAACACATTCCCGATGTAAGAGAACCCAAGTAACAATTCCGACTTAAGAGAACAACGTGAACAAATCCCGATGTAAGAGGACAAGGTAGAACCACAAAATCCGAGATCGGGCGACACGGAATGACACGGTATGGGCTTACATCGGGTTATGTCCATTGGACACTCCTTAGGCTTAAGGGGTGACCAATGAGCACCCCTTGGTTTCCTCGGGTTTTGACCACCGACACGGAATGACACGGATTGACACGCAGGCAGCTGACGTCTCCAACGACCCGAATCCCAAATCCTGTCCATTCACAAGTATCCCTTAAAAAGTTGTGATTCTATACGAGGATCCCTCAAAAGCACTTGTCAAACACTTTGATTTCTAAGGGGTGTCCAATGGTTTTTAGCTTAAGGGGCGTCCAATGGACACGGTTTCGATCTAATGCGCACCTAGGAGTAAGTAGCCACCCCCTATTATATAATCAATCCCAGCTCGACCCCTCCAATATTAACTAATTTGATCTATGGATTTTCCCCTTGGCATCACCCTAATATTTTTTTCATGTGCAGAAACCTCCCCCTATTAATCAATCCCAGCTCCCCCCGAAAAGAAATATAATTGGTTTTATCTTTAATTATCTATATTTTCTTTTTTTTAGTATTCAATATCTTTTGGTCCATGGTGAAACTTATCTTCCAGGTCCTCATCTCATCATCCATCATCAGGTCCAGGTCCTCATCTCATCATCCATCATCAGGTCATCACCTTTATTAGGGGGATGTGGTCCTCAGATACCTCCAATCTCAGACCTTGTTGACCTTGTTGACCTTCTAGGGGGGGGTTCCTCCTTTATTAATCCTACATTTGCATTACCTGGTAGATTCCCCAAGTACTTCAACTAAACATGCCCCGCCTCGAAGCGACGGGCGCCAATGTTCAATGTAAACCTATCCCAACTCACCATCAAACCAGGTGTCCAAACAGTAATCTGGGCTTCAGCACCCACTTGCCGCATGATCCCTGCCCCGGTGACGCTGGGACAGCTATGGTTGAAGGCCTCCAAGCCACCCAGTTCCTGGGGGCTGCTCACGAGTGAAGGCGAACGCTCGCACGTGTCCGCAGCCCGGCGAGCCCGGCGTGGAGGATCAATGAAAGAGATCAAAACGTCTCCAATTCAAAAGTTCCAAACTGACCAGGACACCATCACAATATCACCTAAGACACCATCAGAACTAGATCAGGACACGAACGACGCCAACAGGACAGGAACGACGCCATCCGCCCACCAGATCTGACCCGAGGAGGCGAACCGCCAAGAGTGTTGACTTTGACGAACACATGGCGCCTATAGCGATGCGATGCTATTGGAAACCAAAAACACGGAGGTGGCTGGGATAGAAGCCCAAAAGCCATGAAGTGAAGGTGGTGAAATGGCTCACCTTCAACTACTGGGGCCACCTCAAGGACCTGGGGCCACCTCAGACGTGGCGGAAAAAAAGACCCTAAAGGGTCCTGATGGTGAACTGGCAGGCATTTCCCAGACTTGGTCAAAGGGAAAATGGATGCAAACCAATCATTTTGGATAGTTTTGGGGAGCTGTGGTTTCCTGTGGATATATATTCCCTTGAAATGCTTAAACCAATTCTGGGATCCAAACGCCTGGTTGTTGTTAAGGTTAGCAAGGAATGAGGGTGGCTGTTTTTTCCACAATGATCCTTTCAGGAATCTTCATTGGGCGACTTCCCTGATTCCCTACAAGTCTCACCAGCGAGACGCTAGTCATGTGATGTTCTAGGTTGCCTAGCCTGCCTTGACTAGGCTGGAGGAGCTCAGGTGGCTCAGGTGTCTCATCTCTATCGTCGCTCATCAAGACGGAATAGCTCAAAACCCAGCCTGCGCTCAATTTGAAAAACACTTAAAAGCATTGTCAAAGTTGTTTGTGGAGAAAAGTAAAAATGGTGGTGATCTCTGCAAGAAGAGCGGAACTGGGGATCATGTCCTAAATGCCAATAGTCCCAAGTTCCAAGCTCCTGCATCTAGTGAGTTCTCGAATTTCATGGGAATTCTCAAGAAGCTGCTTGGGAACCTCCCTCCTCTAAAAAGTCAAGAAATGGAGCTGCAGCCTACCACCCCCTCACGTACACAACCCTTTTAGCACGCCCAATTTCCATGGCACAACCCGCAAAAATTATCCTTCAAACCTGATGGCATGGACCCAAATGGAAGACGATCTTCCTCCACGTTCACCACCTGAGCTGCTCGTGACTTTTTCAGGTTCGTGGCACTTGGGAACCGAGCTGGGCTCCAGGAACCTCAGCCTGAGCGAACCACCGAACAACCAAGGCTCCATCGGATTCAGGGGCACCAGGTCAAAGCTGCTGTTGCTCTGGCAGTGTGGCGAATCCTGGGACGACGAACTTCCGGTGGTCGTCCAAAGTTCGGTTTCGCCAGGTTTGGGATCCTATCCTTACAGTGCCTACAGGTCTTGCAGACCTCCTTTGACTGGGTCGAAACTGCAAAACCATTGCTCAATGAGGTCAAGGACCAGGTTTAACTCGGGCCGACTGGACTTGGGCTATATATCGTGACGTGGTATATCGGGATAGCCGCTGAGCAGGGCTTCTCAACCTCTCTGGACCTTGTTGTGCCGGACTCCTTGGCCTGGATGATCCTGGATACCAAGGACCCCTTCGGAATATCTCCTTCTTGCCCGAAAAGAAGCACGACAGGTACAACCCGCGTACCAGACTGCGCGTACCAGACTTCGTACCAAGCACCTGGCCCGCCCTGGAGTATTTCGGAGACCCGTTGTCCGAGGCAACGGGTCTCTCAACTGATATTCACTTGGAACCATCAAAAATCCTTCTTTGATGAACGGAGTTGGACATGTTCCATGAAATAAAGTATATACCTGGATCCTTCGGAGTACCGTAGAAAAGGTAGAAAAGGTGACATGACCCGAACAAAAAACAGGTATGTATGTACCCATGTTCTGAGGTACGAACTGAGACTCCAGATCTGGTCATTTGATGTCAGTTGAAAGGGTGGGTGGATAGAGTGGAAGCTAATCCTAAAAGCTGTGACCATTGTCCTCTTGATCCTTGAAATGTTCATTGTTGATTCTTCTGGCTATCAATCTACACTCTGACCCACTGGAAGTGGATGGCATAGGCCGTGCAAAGACCTTTTTTCTACCAGCAGGGAAATGTCCACGCCCATGTTGGTGAGTGGGAGTGTTTTTAGTGCTCGGATGCTTTGAATGAATCTTCACTCGATTTTGTTCAGCCTCAACCAGCACCGATTTCGGATGGCTATTGTAGGACATATAGTCTAGTCCCTTGTGCTATCAACCCACCCCTTCCATGGGTGCTGGACTCGTGAGACGCTTGGGCTTCAGTTCCAAACGATGAGAGCCTGCCGAGCCGCAGGGCCACTTGGGGTGGATTGCCATGAGGTGAAGCACCAGCTATTAAAGCCCGCAGCGATCTCCTCACACCGGCGTCACTGAAGCGTGTGACGCGCCGCAGTCGACTGCGACAACGCGCGGATGATCACCAATGATCGAGGTTCGGGTTTTGGAAGACGATACAGCGAAATCCGAAAGAATTAAGTGGATTTTCGCACCAAGCCAGCGATCTCTCTCCAGTCGGAAACGGGGACCCGTCGCGACGCGTCGCGAGTTAGCGCGCGCTCGTCGCTCCCGCATGGCTTCGCATGGCTTCGTGACGTTCGACGGAAGGCGGGGGCGGAGTGTTCCGTGTTCCACGCAGAGCGGAGGGTTCTCAGCACCGCAAATCCAGTGGAGGTATTTGGCAATCCATCTTGTTCGCATGAGGATGGGTCAGAAACCTGGAGCTCCAACACCATGTAGCGGTTTCGACCTCCCAGGTAGATCTCCTGGTTTAGACTCACACCCGTTGAACCGAATTGAGCTAATCCATCGACCTTGCACATCAATTCCCGATGTCAATCCTGCCAGCAAACGGCCATTTTTGGACCAAAGCAGCGCTCCGACCTGAAAAAATGCTTCAAGATCTGATTCCAAAAGAAGCCGCTAGTTTACGATAGTTTACGTATAGGGAATACATGGGAATACCACGGATTCGGGATGGTTTTCTGGGGAAAAAGACATTGACATAAGATCTTTAAGGGGCTTTAGCTTTAAAAAACCCCTACGGTGGGACCGGTCGGTGGGAAGGTCGCCTCGTCCCTTGCATGGACTTTGCAAGGTGCTGTTTGACCCGACAGGTGAACCGGTTCGGCACACCAGGAAGCACCTGGCCAGGAGGGTGCTGGTGTCTGAGATTTCCATGGTTTTCCCAACGAATCTCCGAAACTCTTGACACGACGCGGACGCGTCCGCGTCCGCGTCGTGGAGTGCCAGTCGTGGTGCCAGTCGTGGTGCCAGTCGTGGTGCCAGTCGTGGGGTGGCGTCATGCCGAACGGTTTTACACATGTCTTAACTGATGTCACACCAAGATCCAGATCAGCCGAGCTTTTTCCAAAAACGGAAGGCCGGAAGGCGAGACAAATCTCCTCATAGTTGATCACGCTCCACAGCAGTAAGGACTTCACGACCACATACACAGCCACCGAAAATGTAAAGGTCATCTGAAGCATTGTCAGGCGCCAGTCTTTGAAGATCACCAAGTGAGGTGTTTCGAACCTGCGAAAGAGGGTTAGGTTCCATCATCTTCTTGTGGTTTAGTGAGTTTAGTGACACAAAGATGTCAATGAACAAGTGCATGGCCATGCGAAACGGAAACTGTGTGTCTAACAGCACAACCTACTTGGTCAGTTGCTTCCAAGAAGACAGCATGCCACATGTCCATCTCAGTTCCATGTTAAGCCGTCTTCCCCATTCTCAAACGGTCTCCAAGAGGCTCGAACACTGAAATGAGCCATCTTGCTGCGCGCTTGGTCTTCTCTCTCATGCTGTGGTCTTCACAGCGCAAAACAGAGCTCCGTAGCTGCGGACAGGGCTCCAGTCGCACATCAGAAGGACGGTCTGACTGGACTGGACCCCCAAGAGTGGCCCTGTGCCATGGTGCCAGAGCGAAAACGAAGCGAAAACGAAGGTACGACCGGAGTTTGGAGATGTGGCATGTGGCTGTCACTCCTGGGAAGCCTATAAATCATCCCGATTGGACCGCAGAGATGGGCTTGCCCCGCAGATGTTTGGAAGAGACGAATTCCAGCACCCACTACGGGTGGTTTATAGATGTTTATCTAGAACAGTGTAGACCCCCCCTGGCTATGTATGGTGCATCGTGATAGTAAATGATGTTTAACTTTTTAACATGACGATCTGGTTCTGCCATGACTTTTGGCCAGCTCATCCCACCAATGATGTCCGTACTTGGGAATCATAGACGGGTCGGCGCCAGGGGCCTCGTATTGGTTGTTTGCGACCGGGGGAGGGGCCCCTCGATTCATCAACCAAGGGCACTACCAAGGCCATCCAACCATGTTGCCCAAAACACCAGACCGGATGGCATGTGCCACGTACCTCAATGGCATCAATCTTCGCAGCGAGCCTCGGAGAACCGGTCCAACACGTCTCCAACAAAACCACCTGACCTCAATATCACCAGCATCATCAGATATCATCAGCATATCCTCAATCTCCAGACTGTTCCCCCTTCCACTCCACTCATGTCCACAATAGTCCACACCGCACGAATTGCCCTTCCACTCGCGGGAATGGACGATTCGTCGACTCGCCGACTCGCCAACCGTTGGTCGCCCAAACACCGGTCGACAGACGTTTCAAATGGTCGCCACATGTTCCACTCCGAATTGACATGAAAGTGGATGGCATGGACCGTGGCCGTCTACATGGTCTGATCCAAAGAGTCACGGAGCTTGCACCGACCCGATCCAGCTGGAAACGTTGCGTCAACACCGGACGGTCAAAATGAACAGCTGTAGCAGCTGAATGTACCAGAAGGGAGTCAAAGAAGTCAAAGAGGTAAGTCTCAACTTGCTGATCTCAAGGACGGTCAAATGAATGTAGCAGGACCATGCGCTGGACATCGGTGTCCTCGACACTCATGTCCGGTCGACACCCATGTCCGGTGGTTTTCGACTGTCACTGGGGCCCTTCTAGGGACCCCGTGGAGCCCGTGGCGCCCGGCACAAAGTCTGGCAACGAGAGGCCGCCGATGGCGTGCGTAAAGAGATCCACCTGGCGGTGAACTCGAACTGAGGCAGCAGCTGAATCAGAAAAAAGCTGCCCCAAACGCCCCAAACGCGGCTTGGGTGTGGGCGCCAGCGGGTCCTGACCCATGTTTTGGAAACAAAAAATTGCACAAAAGCAGGAAACAGGCCACAAAACCAACATCTTCCAATCCCCATGAGGCCCTCGTGTGGTCTACTATACATTCCTAGATCTTCCAACTGTGCAAAAATAATCTGCCTGTTCATCTATGAAATCAGCCAAGTTCGCCAAAAAGTTTGCATAGGAAGATCTATCGGTTGATGAGACTGTTCATGTGTGATGAGGGCCATCATGGCCCATCATCGGTCGATTCGTTAGGGCCGGGCCATCCAGCGTGAAAGGTCGGTGCAGGGAGGTTTTGTGCTTTGCCAAGCCGACGAGAAGAGACTGGTCAACCCAAAGCATGGCTCAGGAATGCTCAGACAATGTCTAAAAACCGCTAAAAGTCCATCCGTCCATGAAGTAGCAGACTGCAGACTGCAGACTGCCTCCAAATCCTCCAAAACCTGTAGGAAAAAAAATAAACAAAAACGCCCCACGGCATCCAAAAAAGAACAGCATTTGGATGCAATTGGCTCTTAAGCAGCATGTTGAAGTCATCTTCCTAGGCGTCAAAGGTCGGCGAAATCCAGTGACATCGAGTGGATTAGAGTGGCTCCTCACATCGTCTGGTCCTGCCGAGTCCTGGTGGCCTGAACGGTGCGATAGGAGGTGAGATGAAGATCAGGATGGTGGCCTCATTTGTAGCGAGCCATGAAAACGAGCATCACAAAGCATTTCAAAGCGAGAACGTTGACCATGAAAACGAGCATCATAAAACAACTTAAGAACATCTTGAGGCACCACCTTGGCAGTTAGCGATGCGAGAACATCGCGAGGCAAAAAAAGCAGAAACATACAGAAACCCATTCCACTGTTGAACCTTCGAAACAGCCGAACCAAAAGATCACAGAATGAGCATGATGTCGTGATATGTCTTGAAAGCTCATCACCTCTTTTCATCTCTATACCTGGCCTTTCTGTTCGAAGAGAACATGAAAGCGAAATCGGCTCAGTCACCTTCAGCTTCAGCCAGCTCCCCCACCTGCGTCGGCGGTCGGCGGGTTTCGAGACGCGCGCGAAAAGCATGTTCGCTCGCCTCACGTCGCTGGAGTCGCGTCGCCGAAGCACGTGGGTTTGTGGCCGCCAAAACAGCGGAAGAGACGTCCGCGCTTCAGTTTACACCGCTTACACACCACTTGAGCGAGAGGCCCCCAAAGAAAATATATCGTTGCCTCCGGAAGCCACAGAAAGACCCGACAAACAGCAGCAATGTAATCCAAAACAACCCAGACACCTCGTGTCTGGGAGCTCCCAACACGGACGACGCCGGGGGAAAAAGATGTCATTCATGCTCTCATGCTTTGGACCCTTCGGTTTCTGTCCAAGTCGACTGTTGGAGGTCTTGCAATTTGGAAGGCCCTTTTTGGAGAATGGTGGTTCCCAAAACGGAGCGTCTTTTTCAATGTAGTGTGCTTCATAGACCCTGAGAGTCCAAATGGCTATACCATGGTAGTGGTAGATTATGACTATGACTTCCCGGTCGGCTAAAGTGCGTCATTGGAAGTTCTGGAATATGAATGCTATCATGCTGTTTCAAGAGATCAATGATTTCGTGGGGCTTCCATCCACAAGCACAGTTTGTTAGCGCCTGGTTCAGGAACTTCATTGCTGCGCCCCAGTTTTTCGCCACGAGGCAAAGGCTGATGCGGGTACCGTCCGGAGCCAAGGTCCAATGCGGAATAGCAGCCATTCTGGCAAGCAGGACTGGGGGTATCTCAAAATCAAGGACCCAAAGGGCCTACAAACTTCTCCAGATGAGTTGCATGCAAATCGCTGCTAATCACAGGTTGATGTTTACAAATCCTGCAGATCCTCAAAAATAGGCCTGTTGAGGTTTACAAAGGTCTGCTGTCATGCATCTTCGAGCAAGCAAGAGATGTTTTTTGAGGCCCGATCTGCGACCCTTTTTGGTGGCACGTTAGTACATGGGATAGGCCAAGAAGGGCTAGCTGTATATATACATAGAGAACCACCTGTGTCCTCGAACTACTCTTGAAGTTCTTGAACCATACAAGTACTTCACTTTACTGAAGTTCATCATACAAAACCACAACGGAGGTTGAAGGATGACGGACTTCGTTCAGTACGCTCCGGATAGGGTCTCCTTTTCACATCCAACACAGGGCTTCAGCTTCGGCCAAAAAAAATCCGGCGCATTGGTCTGTCAGAATGAATCCACCCAAACGTGGAGCATCATTGTTCACATGGTTGAGCATTGTTGCTCACATGGTTGAGCATTTCCTCGCATTGGCTTCTTGCCACGCTAAATCCGTTCTCTCGCTTTCGTGCTGACCATGCATTCATGTTTCATGTTCTTGCTGTATCTTGCCCCTGCATTGTGGACCAACCAAGTTGTGCCTCCGTGTCAGATCATTGCAAGGAAGAAAGAAAAAGAAATTGGACGTGTTTGTGGATGGGACCCCCAATATGTGTCGATTAAACAGGAACCCTGTTCGGAAGGGGCTTCGGATGATGCAACACCGACCATGTAATAATGGTTGAACATGGTGTTCAACGGATATGTTGATTGATCCACCATGAACATGCCCTTTTCCACGCATGGAAAATGGAGTTTGGACCCTCGCTTCGCCCTACAAAAAGAAAGAGTCTCTGGCCTCACCTTCTCCAAGAGATGTTTCCCTGGATCCCTATAGCTTCCGAAAACTAACATAGACCCAGTGGTTTTGGACCTGTGGTTTCGACCATTTTCCGAATGCCAACCCAGTGGTTTTGGGGTTCCATGTTCATTTGCAGAGGAGCACATTCCCTGGCTCATTCCCAGTGTTTTTCTCCCAAAGAAAAAAGAAACTCAAACTAACTCAAACTCCCCTTCCCGTCCTTGCAAGGATCTCCTCACGCTGGAGTGATGGAGTCGAGGCTCCACAACAACCACCAATCCTCACCGGGGTGATCGATCGAACTCAGCGCGGTTTCAGCGGCGGGCGGCGGCACTTATTCGGCTGAAAAAATGCCAAACGCCTGAACTGGACTCGCCTCGGAAAAATAATGGAGACCCATAAATGACCTGGCCTTTGATAGGGTCATGTCACTCATGTCGCATCTTCTAAAGTACTCTGAAGGTCTCTCGAGAGGGAGGAACTGCTTCGAGTGTCCTTTACTTGCCCTATCTTGCCGCAAATAAAAGCTGAGGACTCATAAGCCATTTCAGCTTTTCGAACCCGTTCACCGCTTTCCCCGTCCAATGAAGCGATCGTGTTTGACTTCAAGGTCACTTCGACTTTCCTAGAGAGGTTGAGCAGCCCATAGTAGCCCTATCCCACTAGGCTATCCATGGCTATCCCATATGTACCACCGAAAACAAACCAGTTCAGGTCTCCAAAAACCGGGTTCCGCCCCACCAAATGCTCAGTCTGAGACTCTTGCAAAGCCTCAGCTCCTCAGAGGTCTTCGCATTGCCATGCTTCTCGGCCAAACCCCCTGCGCAAAAGGACTGGAAGAAGGTCTGGTCTGACTTCTCATAGAGTTTCTGATTCTGGAAGGGATATTCAATTCTCACACCATCTTGCAGTGAATGCACCGAACACCACGAAGTAGGGCACCCTGGTCTTTTCCCACATTCCCCAGCAACACGACCACCGAGGGAATCCGAGGGATCTAAACTGCTCCACATCTCTGAAATCGATGTTCGGCACTAAGCCTCCAAACAGGGGTTCGTAGCAAGCCCAGTGATGGTAAGTCCTTGCTAAGATGTCTGCTTGATCTGCGTGCTCTTCAATCAAGACTGGAGAATACGCCAAGGCATTGGGCACCTGTGCTGCCTTCCATGAAGAAGCTTGGGACGGAGTCGCCCGCCCGTTCGGTATAGAATTGCTAGTTTAATATTAGACTTAGAATGTCGTCTGCGGATTTGATACTTCACGGAAGATATTCCAGAAGGCTAGGCCAAAACATATCCTTGACACTGAGGGGCAAGGGATCAAAAAAAATAAAAATGCATCAAAAAACAAATATAATTCAGGGTATCAAGAAAAAAACAAAAATGAATCAATAAAAAAATAAACGGACCCAAACGAGTGGAGGGAAGCGCAATAGTCCAACTCGAAGCAGTGATCAAAAGAAAAACAAAAACGCATCAAAAAAAAACAAAAACTAAATCAACCTACACGGATACCTTGGATGGTCCTGTAGGGCCCTTGGGTCGAGACCAACCTATCCACCACAACGGTCGGCCTCTGCCCTCTGTGTTCGGTTCGAAATTGCCAAGAATTCAAAAGATAAGGTGTTTCAGGTTTTGGAGATTCAAGAGGTCACGGTTGAGAACAGGACGCCTACATCTACAAAGATCCAAAGGCCTCGACATCCAGACAGATCTAGTGTAAAGGTGTAGAGTCTAGAGACCCACAAAATCTTGCAGAGGTTCAGATCCAGCTCTTCCAAAATTTTACTGGCGTGCTAGAATGGAATGGCTTTCTGCCCTCTAACCTTTACTACTGTACATTCGGGTGGCTTACAGAAGGGCGGCGCCGCAGCCGCGCACACGGATTCAACTCAACTGCGCACACACATTTATCGGCACTTGTGCCTCATCTGCGCACACACTTGTTAACTCAGCGTGCGCACACCCCACCATGGGGAGTCAAGTGCGCACACAGGCCCTTTCCCGAATGTTGCTGCGTATTCCAAATTTCACCCTGCGTTGCTCACTTAAAAGGGTAGTCAACTTGGAATAGCCACTTCCTTGTCTATTTTTGTTACTCTCCAGTGGCTCACCAAGGGGTGAGTCAACTTGGAATGAGCACTTCCTTCTCTAAATTTTGCCCCTGCATTGCCCACAAAGGGTGAGTCAAGTTGAAATGGCAACATCCTTCTCTAAATTTTACCCTCGGGCGGCCCACCAAAGGGTGCGTCAACTTGGAAGGGCAACATCCTTCTCTAAATTTTTCCCCTGCGTGGCCCACAAAAGGGTGAGTCAAGGTGAAATGGCAACATCCTTCTCTAAATTTTACCCCTGCATGGCCCACAAAAGGGTGAGTCAACTTGGCATGGCCAGTTCCCTCTCTAAATTTTACCCTCCAGTGGCTCACCAAAGGGTGAGTCAACTTGGAATGACCTCTTCCTTTTCTAAATTTTACCCTGCCCACAAAAGGGTGAGTCAAGTTGAAATGGCAACTTCTTTTCTAAATTCTACCCTCGGGTGGCTCACCAAAGGGTGAGTCAACTTGGAAGGGCAACATCCTTCTCTAAATTTTACCCCTGCATGGCCACAAAAGGGTGAGTCAAGTTGAAATGGCAACATCCTTCTCTAATTTTTAGCCTCGGGTGGCTCACTAAAGGGTGAGTCAACTTGGAAGGGCCACATCCTTCTCTAAATTTTGCCCCTGCATGGCCCACAAAAAGTTGAAATGGCAACATCCTTCTCTAATTTTTAACCTCGGGTGGCTCACAAAAGGGTGAGTCAAGTTGAAATGGCAACATCCTTCTCTAAATTTTACCCCTGCGTGGCCCACAAAAGGGTGAGTCAACTCGGCATGGCCGCTTCCCTCTCTAAATTTTACCCCTGCATTGGCCACAAAAGGGTGAGTCAAGTTGGAGTGACCACTTCCTTCTCAAAATTTTACCCTGTGCACAAAAGGGTGAGTCAAGTTGAAATGGCAACATCCTTCTCCAAATTTTAGCCTCGGGTGGTGCAACAAAGGGTGAGTCAACTTGCAGCTTTCCTGGCCACTGCAGGCAGCACAGGTCCGTAAGCTGGCCACCTGCAGCAGCACAGTGCTCACAACACTCTGGCCACCTCCAGCAGCACAGCGCTGACGACACTGGCCACTGCAGGCAGCACAGCTCCGTAAGCTGGACATCCAAAGGCCTCGACATCCAGACAGATCTGGAGTGTAGAGGTGTAGAGTCTAGAGACCCACTAAATCTTGCAGAGGTTCAGATCCAGAGGCCAGGGGAACAGAGGACCAAAGGACCCGGGGCCTTACGGTCGCCTCACCTCTTCAAAATTTTACAGGCGTGCTAGAATGGAATGGCTTTCTGCGCTCTAAACTTTACTACTGTACATTCGGGTGGCTCACAGAAGGGCGGCGCCGCATATTTTATCAGCACTTGTGCCTCATCTGCGCACACACTTGTTGACTCAGCGTGCACACACCCCATCGGGGGGAATCAAGTGCGCACACAGGCCCTTTCCCGAATGTTGCTGCGTATTCCAAATTTCACCCCTGCATTGCTCACTTAAAAGTGTAGTCAACTTGGAATGGCCACTTCCTTCTCTATTTTTTCCCTCCAGTGGCTCACCAAGGGGTGAGTCAACTTGGAATGAGCACTTCCTTCTCTAAAATTTACCCCTGCGTTGCCCACAAAAGGGTGAGTCAAGTTGAAATGGCAACATCCTTCTCTAAACTCTACCCTCGGGTGGCTCACCAAAGGGTGAGTCAACTTGGAAGGGCAACATTCTTCTCTAAATTGATCCCCCTGCATGGCCCACAAAAGGGTGAGTCAAGTTGAAGTGGCAACATCTTTCTCTAAATTTTGCCCCTGCATGGCCCACAAAAGGGTGAGTCAACTTGGCATGGCCACTTCCCTCTCTAAATTTTACCCTCCAGTGGCTCACCAAAGGGTGAGTCAACTTGGAATGACCACTTCCTTTTCTAAACTTTACCCTGCCCACAAAAGGGTGAGTCAAGTTGAAATGGCAACTTCTTTTCACAATTTTACCCTCGGGTGGCTCACCAAAGGGTGAGTCAACTTGGAAGGGCAACATCCCTCTCTAAATTTTACCCCCGCATGGCCCACAAAAGGGTGAGTCAAGTTGAAATGGCAACATCCTTCTCTCAATTTTACCCCTGCGTGGCCCACAAAAGGGTGGGTCAACTCGGCTTCCCTCTCTAAATTTTACCCCGCATTGGCCACAAAAGGATGAGTCAAGTTGGAGTGACCACTTCCTTCTCATAATTTTACCCTGTGCGCAAAAGGGTGAGTCAAGTTGAAGTGGCAACATTCTTCTCCAAATTTTACCCTCGGGTGGCGCAACAAAGGGTGAGTCAACTTGCAGCTTTCCTGGCCACTGCAGGCAGCACAGGTCCGTAAGCTGGCTCGCTGAGTAGCTGGCCAAATGGGGGATAGAACAGGAGTTCAAAAGTGGTCCTTGTTGTTGTGTGTGTTTTTTGGGAGATGCATCAAAAAATGCATTAACATAGAATACATAGATGCATCAAACAATGCATTAACATAGAATACATGACAACACTTGCCATTGCAGGCAGCACAGCTCCGCAAGCGGGCCACCTACAAAAGCCATCGAAAACCAAAGGCAAAAGCCACCAAAACCCAAGAGCCACCGAAAGCGAACCTTCCTTCCTGCCTTGCTGCCTTTCTTCCTTCCATCCATCCTTCCTTGCTTCCTTGCTTCCTTGCTTCCTTCCTTCCTTCCTTCCGTCCTGGCTTCGTACCTTCCTTCCTTCCTTCCTTCCTTCCGTCCTTCCTTCCTTCCTTCCTTGCCTTCTTGCCTTTCTTTGTTTCTTTTCTTTATTTTTTTATTGATGCATTTTTATTTTTTTCTTGATGCATTTATATTTTTTTATTGATGCATTTATATTTCTTTTTTGATGCGTCTCCCGACACTGAGACTGTGGAGACAAAGAATGCGTCTGCCCGCATGTCCCGCCCGCGGGGATTCCGCAGCTTGTTTTCATCGGTTTCAGGGGATCGGACGCTGTTTCAGGCTGAATGTACATCGCTCCGCACACAGCGGCTGAAGCAAGTCCCTATAGTGGTCAAAGACCTCATTGACGTCATTGTCAGTTCTTCAGGGCCGGAAGACTGGATCTGGGTCAGACTGGACCGGGGAGTCTTCAGCTGTGCAGTCTTTGTGACGTCTGAGCCGAATGTCGAGAAGCCTTTCGAAGTTGCTGCAGGCAGCTGTGGAGTCACACGGGTCCGGGTTGAGACGACTCAAAAAAAGGCCCGTGCGAAGCTCCATCGACTGGATCTGATTTGTATTGATTTGTAACAAAAAGCCACAGACGGTCTCAGACGTCTCCTTTCAACAGGTGTGTCATCGGTTGTTGTGAATTGCGGCAGCAAAAAGAAGCACGTCGCTGAGTGCCCTGCAGCCCAAGAGCCAAAAAGATCTCAAACCTCAGACGGCAGAACAGAGGATATAGGTGGATATGGATATGAATCTCGAGTTTAGAGACTTTCGAAGGCTCCACCCAACTCAATATGGCACAGACCAAAAAACAAGTGCAGCAGTTGCAGTGTGGTTCTAATATGTTATTATTCTATAGTCAATTCTATCAAGCTTGCAAGCACTAGCCCTCGTGGCCGTGGCGGCTTCTCGTCGCCGAGCCCGGCTTTCGTCACGTCGGTATAGAAAGTCTATACGCGCTTCTTCACGGCGCTTCCGATGGCGGTCCCGGCTCATTTCGGAAAGCTCAACATGCACCCACCTTCCAGAGACCATTCAAGATTGCCACAGCTCAAAAGGTTGAACTGGCAGAATTTTGGACTGGGCACTCACTCCTCTTTGAATCTGAAGCCAACTTCCGGAACTCCGAAAATTGCTCAGATATCAGATACTGCAGTTTTTCATCAAAAACTGGTGAAACGTGAGTCCACCAGTCCAGCGTCAGTCCTCTGTCCAACCACGGGACTCAAAACTCCCACCTG